GATTACTTGTTTAATTCATTATTGATACAAGTTTTATTCAGTTTACAGATCATAGAATGCTCTTTCGTTTGCTATATTTTGCATTCATGTTTAATTTCATCTAATTCAACTTTAATATGTGTGTAATACATTTTTAATTCAAGTGTAATTCATTTTGCAGTTTATTATATCTTTTCATTTGTTACGATTAGATTACTTTTCCAATTAATTATTGATACAAATTTTATTCTATCTACGAATTATTGACTACTATACGAAAGAAAGTAGAGAGAGAAAGAAAGGGAGAAAGAACAATAGAAAGAGAGGGAGAAAGAGCAACATAAAGAAAGAAAGGAGAAAAAACAATGTACAGAAAGAAAGAAATGGAGAAAGAATAACGTACAGAAAGAAAGAAGGAAAGGGATAAAGAGAGAGAGAGAGATAAATTTGAAAAGGCTAGAGACAAAAAAAAGAAAGAGGCGAGAAAGAAAAATAAATATAATAAAATACATAGTATTGTTAGATATTGCTATAAATGGTAATAATTAAAGAGTATATTTAAAATAAGTAATTATTTTTTAAAAGGGATCCACTCAAGTAATTAATCCTTTCGATAATCTCCAATATATATCCCTTGTGCTTCTCTTCATTTTCTTTTTCAAAAATATATGTATGTAGACATCTTCAGCTAATTCTTTTAGTGAAATATGTTTATAGAGCAATGCACTTGTAATTATGGTCCTAAAATTATGGTTTAATTGATCAACTCCTGGCTTGATTAAGCATAGAGGTATGAAGGGGACTCCTTGAGAACATATATGCATTGGAATTACCATCCAATGAAAGGCAATAAAACAAAAGAATCCAATGGAAGAAGTTTCAGAAGAAAATTGTATTAATTAGTTGTATGGGGTGCCATGATTTATTACACTTGCTAGCTATTTACGGAGTAAGTTAGTAAGTGATTGAGGCGTTATCTTTGACCAGCTCTTATCATAGGATGGCGTGGACAGATGTTAATTAGAATATATTTGATTCTTCAATTCAATACTTTTTTAATTCCAACAGCTCGTAAATGTAGAAAAGTGTGTAAATGGCATACGCAAGATTGGAGATTGACAATTGAAATTCATTTAGTATAGTCAGCTAGGAAAAGTTGGTTAATCGTACGCAGCAGACTCGAATTACTCTGGTATTTCTGGAAGGCACATGAGTCTGAACGCTTTGGCAAGCTGGGAACTCAAATCTAATATATTGAAGAGTCAAGGTTTCCAAGGAGCATGGATGAGGCGAAGCATCGATCCGAGGATTTTTAAGCAAAGAACTGTTAAAATAGAGTGCATGGATATAAAAGTAGTCTTAAATACTATTTAGAATATAGTGTGTACAATGAAGTATGTTAGCACAGTAGAGTTGGTTAGTTAGTTGCAACAGTGAAGTTAGTTAGTTAGTTAGTTGCTTTTCATTATTCTAGAATTGAGTAGATGCTTCTAGATTTTATTAATTAGAAATTGTATATAAGGAACACAACGTAACACTTATCGTTTTAGTTTTTCTTTAATAAAAGTTTTCTCTCTTCTCTTTCAATCCAGTACCTCTGTGCACAAGCTTGACCTCCATTAATGGAAGAACAGAGCAATTTAGCAGACTTATGCTGCTGATTTTATCAAATACCATAAAATTTCATATTCAAATTCTAGCCTGGATAAAATATTAGTGATCGATTTATTTTCATCTATTCAAATCTGCGTAAATAAAATTATCCAATATTTATGTTGGTTGCAACTTGCAAGTTATTAGTACATCACAATAATAAAATGAAAATCCAAAAAGCTTGACCAATGACCATATATAATATTGTACTACTACATGTTAGGCTTAGCAAGATAAAACTCTGGATAGAAGGATATGACATGGAGATACTCAAAATCTACTAAACACTTCTCATTGGTTGATACAAAAATTTCAAAACTATTTCACACCACAATTTTCTAAAACACAAGAACCAGAATTGTTGGATGGACCACTCCAGATATTTTTCCAACAGTTATTCTTTATATATAAATTGTGCAAGAAACTTAGTGAAAATTGTGAGGTCCAATTAATTAAGAGAGAAATTAAGAAAGAGAAGAAATGGCAGCAACAGGCAGCTCAGCCACAGTTGTTAGAGCAACTCCATTTTTGGGCCAGACCAAATATGCTAACCCCCTTAGGGATATAGTTCCTATGGGCTCTGCCAGATTCACCATGGTAATTTTTATTTTTATTTTGTGATTTTATAATTGAGTTCGAAAATTAATATTTATTGAAATTCGAATAAATTTATGATTCGTGTACAAAGATACTGAATTAAGTTGAATCTGTTTTTAATGTTTCGTTAGAGTAATGATTTGTGGTATGGACCTGACCGTGTCAAGTACTTGGGACCATTTTCTGCTCAAACTCCTTCATACTTGACTGGAGAATTCCCTGGTGATTACGGATGGGATACTGCTGGTTTATCTGCTGATCCCGAGGCCTTTGCCAAGAACCGAGCTCTTGAGGTACTATATTTTTTCTTTTACTAGTAGTAACAGATATTTATGTGACTAAAAATCATTTTCGTAAAATTGTTTCTAAATATTAAAGGTATCATTTTTATTAGGATAGAACAAAAAAGTGAAGCAGACTCATATAATTGTCGACGATTAATTTAGGATTGAGACATAGTTGATCGATTGATATTGATTAAAATTGTGTTAATAATTCTAGGTTATCCATGGGAGATGGGCCATGCTTGGGGCTTTTGGTTGCATTACACCAGAAGTTCTTGAAAAATGGGTAAAAGTGGACTTCAAAGAACCAGTATGGTTCAAAGCTGGAGCCCAAATCTTCAGTGAAGGTGGGCTGGACTATTTGGGCAACCCAAACCTTGTCCATGCTCAGAGCATTCTAGCAGTATTGGGCTTCCAAGTAGTGTTAATGGGCCTTGTAGAAGGTTTCAGAATTAATGGGCTTCCTGGAGTTGGTGAAGGCAACAATCTATACCCAGGTGGTCAGTACTTTGACCCATTGGGCCTAGCAGATGACCCAACAACTTTCGCCGAGCTCAAGGTTAAGGAGATCAAGAACGGAAGATTAGCTATGTTCTCCATGTTTGGATTCTTCGTTCAAGCTATTGTCACCGGCAAAGGCCCACTTGAGAACCTATTGGATCACCTTGACAACCCTGTTGCAAACAATGCATGGGTTTATGCAACTAAGTTTGTTCCTGGATCTTAAATTTTTTACATTTTGACTTCCTCCATAAGAGCCTTTGTAGTTTGTACCACTCAATCATTCATAATGCAAATATTTGTCAAAGGAAAATTATTTTACATACACTTGAACCAGTAGCATTCATTTGAATATGCATCAATGAATAAGTTGAATTCAGCTATATTAACCTTCACTATCCATATCGTAACGTTCAAACTTGACAAAAACTTAAAAAGTAGGACAACATTGGTGAAAAGAGTTTAAGGGAGAAACAAGAATGCTCATAAGCAAAACACAATGATACCATCACATTTGGCCACTCATTGTGCTGTTGTGAACAATCAAGTAATGACTTTTCTACAATTGATCACCATCTTTCAACAACAACTAATTACAACATTTGCTAATGCGAAAAGACGTGTGGACTGAGAAATTCAATCCGTTTTTCGCAAGCTATCTAATATACTTCCACAACCTAGCATTGTTTACAACAGGCTATTCACAAACAAGTTCTTAACTATCTAGCTAAGCGATTGCAGAGATACATAATTGAGCACACGTACGTACTATTTCCCAATCTCCACCAACTTTGCTAACTTAGCAACCATAGTTGGGGAAATTAGTTCCATCTATTAACACCCTAAAGAAGAAGACGAGAATTATTTTAAGCTAAAATCACTTGCTCTTCTTACCCCACCATTTTCTATGACTCTTCCCTGCTTTAGAATGAACAAGCTTGTGTACTTTTGACTTCGTCTCCTTTAACCGGACCTTGTACTCTTTTTTCCATTCCTCAAACCTGTGTTTAAGTCTTCGATACTCATCTGCAGGATTATTAGTAGAATGTAACAGCCCTGGCTTCAAGTGAACAATTGCCATGGCTTCGTTGTCAAAATTCTGCTTCCGTTGTTCAAATTCCATTGTAAGGTGGCTGATTAAGGATAAACCACCATTAACCTCTCTATTAGTTACAACACCCAAGCTGTTGTTAGAAAAGTTAATTGGAGTGCGTCCCGCAGGAGTGTCCATAGATGTTGCATCATCAGAATCATAATAGTGAGGAGATGGGGAACCTTCAAGCTTTCCAGGTTGACCAGTAGTGTCACCAGCGGCAAGAGTGTTCTTGGCTGCAGCTAGATTAGCCTGCTTTAACAAAGCAATCAATTACCTTGTAAATTCATAAATATGAGTTCACAAGTAGAAACTCAATTTCCAGCATCAGCAGTATCAGTAGAGCATTCATAGAACTACGGATACCAAGAACTAGAGAAAATGAACTATCTAGGATCATATTGCAGCTTACTCACCTGCAATGATGTCATTTGCTTTTGCCACATCTCCTCCATTGACCTCATCTTGACCTCATATTCTAAGCATCGGGCCTCGAATTGGTTTGCTTGTTCCTTCAGGGCAGCATTTTCCTTTTCCTTCTGTTCAATGGTTGCCTCGGCCTTTGCAACTCGTCTTTCGAGGTCTTCTACAACAGATGGTAGGATTTCTCGAGGCAACTCCTGCTTGCATAAAAAATTCAAACTTACTACTACAGATTCTCAAGCAGTCAGTAAAAATATCAAAGACTGCATTGCTGCCTCAACTGTTTGCAGCAAGGGGAAGGCATGATAAATGAAGCCATTATCCTGATTTATCCATCAGTGATTCTTCACCAACTGTCCTTTCCCTTTCCCCTTTTAGCTTCTACATGAGAGAGGGGAAGGACTAATGTATAAGCCAAAAAAGGGCCTTACTACTCATTCTCTCACCATATTTTTCTTTCAATTTCAATAATCAAACACTCGGCATTTTCGAGATGCCAGAGTATTTCATCTTCCAAAGAAAGAATAAAAAATGAAGAAAGATTCCCCTGAATCCTGAAATCAGAAAAGCAGTTGCATACCCAAAAATGGTTTTAACTATCCCCCCCAAAAAAGAAGAAAAAAATGAAATACCTAAAATTGGCTTCATGAAACAGGCCACCAAATTCTTAAAGATATTAGTCCGGAAGCAGACTTTACAATTCTGAACGAAGAAACACGAAAAGTTACAATAAAATCTATGGCAGAACTTTTAAAATGCTAATTATTCCATTATAAGGTCTATTAAGGGAATAAAAAATGAGGCATGAGGACTACTAGTAAGGATAGGTGTGAATCTTTATCACAGAGTACCTTGACCTCCGTCTTTCTGCCTGATCTTCGTTTGTCTACATTTAACATTTTTGAATTCTGCAGTTTACGAAGATCCCTTCTAGCCAACCAACCACGAATAGCTGCAAAAAAGAAGATGTGTAAATTTATATTTGGTTTCATAACCAGCTGCCAAAAGAAGATGTCCAAATCTATATTTGGTTTCATATATTTGATACCATGCAAATAACTTTTACCTGATTGTATCTGCACAACAGCCACCAGCTGCTCATCACTTCCTTCACGAGCAACCTTCCCTTTAGACATCACTTTAGTATTATACAGCCTTCTTTCTATTTCACCACGAATAACTATATGAACAAATGTTGACATCAAACATCAGGTACAATTCAGCATTGAAAGCTTATAATTTAATTATATTGATGCATCACCTCAAAATTGACCCGGTTCACATAACTAGTTACTTTTGGAACTTCCAACAATGGTTCAAAGGCAGTTCATTATAGTTTTTTTAAAAAAATTATGAAGACAAAATTGTAGTTATCTGTTTTTCTTTTTCTAAAACCACTTGAATGGCATCCCCAAGTGCTCAAAACTTTGAAGATATCTAATACAGTCTTGAAATGGAAAAATACTCATACAACCTGATAGACACAACATTCTTCATGAATATCATCTTCTATTGTATTATAAGAAAAAAGGGAAGTAAAAAGACGAGTTGCAAAGGAATCTGCTTTACATGATTGAAGTATGATTACTCCTCCTTTCAGCTCATGGAAGTGCCGACGAGCACGATGACGACGGAAGCACTTCTGCACCTCAAGAGTACCTTGCAGAACTTGGTTCCTTACATCCTCCAATGAAGCAATCTACATGTAAGAGGGACAGAAGTTCACATATAGGCACACAAGGAAATCCAATCTTCAATAGTATGTGTCCATTATCTTACTAGAAGCCCATATTGGGTATATGTTAGAGGATATGTTATATCCATAAGCCATAACTTTTGCCATTTTTATTGTTTGACCACTCAAAACCCTTCTCCAAACAGACATATGCCTCCAAAAATATGATTTTTCCTCAAAGTGGTGCCACCAGTTTGGAAGACACCACACTTTTTTCAAGATAACTATGGTGTCTGGGCCAGCTAGCGTGCACATCGACACACCACATGTTTTTCATTTATCATTATTTGGTTCAACTATATAGTAGTGTAATGATTAGAAGAAAATTAAAATTTCTGGTGCTTCCTTTAGATGATTTAGTAAATGACATAAATTCTTTGAGAAGTAAACATATCCACACAAAAGAACAAGAAACCATGAACTCACCTGTCCTGATCGGAAATATAACTTTGTATACCCAACTTGGTACAGTTCCGGAAGAATACCAAATTGATGAAGAATGGCAACTGACATACTTAAAGGATCTTGGCATGCATTATCCTTTGGCAGAAGGAAGCCGTACCTAAAATACCGCAATCACATATATAAGTTGACAAACAACCAAAAGAACAAATCAGCAACAAACTAAGGATCGTGTATGTCACCTGCTTGTGAATTCTTGATGTGTTAACCTAGTAGGATAGCCAGATCTTGATATTCTAACCACTTCAAGAACACCACAGCATCTGAGCTGTTCTATGACAAGATCTTTGTCAGACATGCCAGGAAGCTGCTTATTATTTGGTTTTATGCAACATATGAAATGTGGTATGGTATTTTCCAATTGCTGCATCAATTTGAACAAATTATCCTGCCAGAATTTGATAAAGGACAACATTGAGAAACAATCATAGCACCTCAAGATACAAACTTTTATTTTCCAAATGTTTGGTTTGTTAGCATGATCAAGTTCTATAGAAAATAACCACCTTAAACTTAGTTGCAACACTTTGCTTCTTAAAATCTAGCACCCCTGTATCAGTTGATGGAATTGAGAATTTTTTATCTTCAGGCAGGTGACTATCACTTGATGAGAGTAGCTGAATAATGTCAGGATGCAACACATCTCTGTTCTTTGCTAAGAAGCCAGTTGCATCATAAGTTACCTGCAAAACTCATATTCGTAATTATAGAGTATGTAAAGAACCAAGGAAGTCAACCATAACTTCTGTCTCTAAAACAAATGATGTGGCTTTGTTGCACCAAAAAATAAGCAAAGACATATTTGAATTAAAGGTTAATTATATAGTCCTTCTTGCCTTCAAAAGCTCTAGCGTTTCTCTCTCCAAATTTACCCACCATACCAATACTGAAATGGACTTCCAGATGTTCCTAGATATTTGGATAAGTCCGATTCAAGCCATGATAGCAAAAGGTCCATTGATATTTAGGCATGCACCAGTCCCCAAAATATTAAGCAAGAAAGAATATGTTACTAGAACTACTGAAAGATAACCAAAATAGAAAGCGGTTGTCTGAGATTATTGAAATAGAGAACAATTACATGATTCTGGAATTCTTTTCCACTAAAAAGCGCTAGTACTGGCACAAAGAAAGAAAGTTCTTCTTGCAGCACCCATGGATAAGAATCTATCATCAATCACCAGAAAGAGGTATGATAAAGTAAATCTTCCAGATATTATTGGTGTAGTGGTGTAGTTTGGATTGAAGATGGAAAATCACTTGTGAGAAGTTATAAGAAGAGTCATCACAAGATACAGCTAGAGGGTCACTGGTCAAGAGGCACACCCCCATTGGTGGTAAATGAAAACAAGCATAATGCCACCAAAACAGTAATCGAAACAAGGATGGTGCCGCCAAAATGGTCACTGTAATAAAACCATGAAAAGAAAGAAAAACTCTGCCAACAATTGAGCGTAAGTCTGACCATGGGAATGTGAAAGCTATTAAGTTTCTTAACCAAAATCGTGAAAATACTACTAATGTGGGTAGAAATTGAACAGGACTAGAAAGGATGCATTTATAAGAGAAACTGACCTCTCCAGCATAATGACGAATACAAAATTCTTCTCTTTCGCTTTTAAA